ATATATCTATTTAGCTTTTTTACTTTTAAGGTGAAAGTCAGAAGCCTTTATAAGATTTTGACAGTACTGAAAAAATCGAAGGACAGCTTAGATCTCTTAAAAACTCAGAAACCAGGTTTAGTAATCACCTGGTGAGCGTTAGGTGATGGGAGGCAAGTTTGGTGGTGCATGCTTGTAATTCCAGCACTTGGGAGCCTGAGGCAGGAGGATTACATAGAGTTTAAGGCCAGCCTCAACTACACAGTGAGACTATGTCCCAAGAAGCAAACAAAAAACACACACACACACACACACAAACCACAATAAGTGTATCTTGCTTATATAATAGTGAAATGTTTTAGTTAAAGCCAAGAGATATAGACTAGATTTTAAATGATGGAATTGTATAGAGTACAAAGAACAGAAACATCAAAATGTTTTTATCATTTACATTTAAGGACTAGATGTATTTTATTATAAAAGAGAATCTTCACTGTGTGTATTAAACCCACATATTCTTCATCTTGCAAAATTTGTGCATCTACACATACACTCAAGTATGGGCTTAGTTATGTTTGTTTCTGTATCAGGCCAAAGGCTCCTATTTAGGGTAAGTAAATGGGTAAATTTAAGACCAAATGTATAAAGCAATTTAGTTAAGCTGTGTCTATGAGCAGTGGGTGTTATTCTAACAATATTTACTTTTATTGTATCAAGAGACATGATAAACATTTTTTAGGGGTGGGAAGCAGAAAGAAGGGATTGAACCCAGGACTTCCTGCATGGTAGGCAAGTGTTTTACCACTGAACTACATCCCGATCCCTTTTTATTTTTTATTTTGAGACAGAGTTTCATTAAGTTGCCTAGGCTGGCCTTGAACTTGTGATCTTCTTGCCTCAGGAATTGGAATTACAGATGCACGCAACCAAACCTGACATGATGCACATTTATTTGCTAGTTTCTATATGGATTATTAATGTTTAAATAGAGTATTACAGAAATCTTTTGGGAAGAAAAGTGTGGTGACATTCTTACATGGAATATTCTCATTAGCACCACTCCACTAGAGAAGGCAGGCCAGCGAGGCCCAAGTATGAACACAGTACTAGTTCTAGAAGAAGGTAGTAAAAGGCTGGCACTAACCACAGTAAAAACACACTCAGCAGCCTGTCAGGACTCCCTGCTGCGCTTGGGGGGGGGGGGGTTGTGTGAGCGCAGATCCAGCCACTTCCGGGGTCTTCACTGCGCATGCCTACGTGCTTGCGTAGCCAAGAAGGTTCCAGAATCTTTTTCAAGCAGACCTTCCTGCCAAGTACCTAACGCTCACCCTTTTTGTGGTATCGCTGTTGGTACCCACGCTGACCCAGACGCGGGAGAGACGCATCACAGGAGAGGCAGGTAGCATTTGGGCCCTAGGTCTCCCCTTCTGGGTCCCCACACTGTTTATACTGCGGACTGCTGACCAAGAGCGACCGACGGGGAGGCACAAGAGAGGGGGCACGAAGCTGCGGGATTTGAGGCCACGGGGCACAGAGGGCAGGTGTCCCGGGCAGAGCTTGGTGAAGACACAAAGATGGGTGGCTGCATTAGTCAGGGTGGGGATGCCTTTGCACAGGAGAAGGGCTGCTGCAGTGGGCTTTGCCTCCGAGTGCATGGCATGGGCTGGGCTGGGGAGTGGAGGCCTGTGAAGACGGGTGGTTCTGGGGCAAGGACCGCCTGCCTCTGCTAGTCCATAAGGAAGGAGAAAATCTCATTAAGTCTCCATTTATGGCTACACAGGGCTTTTAGGAGAAACAGAAACCTGGCCGTCTTTGACTGACCTGGGAAAGCAGCCAAGGATTGTCACGACTGGTAAAATCAACAGACAGTTACTAATTCCCTTTTGGACAAGAGTGTTTACCTTCTCTGGCCATGAAAAATTTCAGTTCCCTATCTCTGAGCAACTGAATAATGATGTAACTATGCTCCAAGAACCTGTACTTAGTTTTCACATGTGTTGTCCAGCCTCCCCCAGCGGCTTTTTGGTTATGGAATCTTTAATTAGGTACATACTGTGACTGATTATATCATTGTGAAGATGGTAGGCTTCCTTTAACTCGTGAGAGGGGAAGTTTCTCTCATATTGAAAGTTCCAGGCTTGTTAATTTCTCATGATGTGAACTTCCCCTCCTTTTGACAGCTATTACTGCTATTAAAAGATGCTGACTTGAAAAGGGTCTACTTCTTGAAAGTCTCAAAAACCCCAATTTAGATTCGGATTCTTTGTCTTTTCTCCCCGTTTGGGAATTCATTCCTTGCATTCAAAATATCAGTGTGGTAAGGAATAACAAGCAAAACATAAATTTGTGGGGATTTTATATCCTATGTTGCTTCTCAGATCAATAAGAATAAGTTCCTTCTTCATCACTCTGATCTCTTGGTTTATATTTCTAATATAAAGTTTGAGGACTGAGTTATAATTGTTAATAATTGATTTTGAGTGAGAATGTCAAGGCATCATTTTAAGGACATTTTAGTAAAAGTGATCGGTAACACCATTTGTGTTTTTATTTTTGGCAAGTCAGTTTACAATCTGATGACATAAGATTATAGTTAAGAAACTGCTGCCTAACCTGAAGACAAATGATTTTGAACAGAGAGAACAAATTTTTATTTTTAAAATAGCCATATCTAAGTGATTTGTTGTAAAATTGTTTAACTCTGCAGAGAAGTCTATAACTCTGGCCAATGGGCTCTAACACAACTGTTTGAAGTAGATCTGAAAGGGAGCCTTAGTTGAAGCTTGAAATATATTCTGAGCAAAAGGCATGAAATGTATGCTCAATTTCAGAAAATGTAAGTACTTTGGCAAAGGTGAGGGTAGTAGTGATTTAAAAGTTTAGTGACATATTTTGAATGTAGATTATGCTACACATAGTAAAGATCAAATTAGTATAGAAAATTGAAAATATAGTTAGTTGAGTGATAATGAAGGAGGGGTGGTAAATGAGGCTAGACTTATTTCAGGAGGATGAAGGGCCTTGTAAATTTCTAAAGTAAGAGACATCCAGGGATTTTTTAACCAATAGAGTGACATACAGACATGTATGTGTATGTGCACACATATATATGTACATCTAACATTTGTCATTGAACACAGTATTAAATCATATAATTTCCTTATCTATTTAGTTTATATATTTTTAAAATGTCTTCACATTTCTAGTGTGTTCTCAGTAGAGGGCATTTGAATTTCTAGTCTTTCAGTAATACAGTAGTGCTTTTATTTCTTAAAATTGTACTATATTGATGCCAGATGAAATGATGCATGCTTCAACTAATTTAAGAGATTAGGAAGAAAAGGGACATGAGAAGGCACGAAGAAGAAATTCTGCCACTGTGAAGTATTTCTCTGTCCTAACTATGGCTCCCACTATAATTGTGATATACTACATTCCTTTTTTTTGCATATCAGAATGTGATAATTATTTTTCCATTTTGCTAAGTGAATTCTCTTGATACGAGTGAAGATATTTTATAATTGGAAATATTCTAGAGCTTTCTTGCTTTGATTCTTTCTTTCTTTCTTTCTTTCTTTCTTTCTTTCTTTCTTTCTTTCTTTCTTTCTTTCTTTGTTTCTTTCTTTCTTTTGTAATAGGGTTTGAACCCAGGGCCTTCACCCTGAGTTACATCCTAGCCCTTTTTATTTTTATTTTTAAATTTTGAAACACAGTCTCACTTAGTTGTCCAGGCTGAACAATGATCTTCTTGTCTCCAGACTTTTGGAGTTACAGCATTACTACTACCCCTGGCCACTTTACCTTTTTAATATAGAGGATACATTAAAAAATAAACTGTGTAGGTACAGATTGAAGAATACCCTTTCATCTATCTGAGCCATCCCAAATTTTATGTCAGTTATTTCTTTGGCTTTTTCATATCTTACTCCTAAGAACAATGTTCAGTTTTCCTGGCTTAATTTACAGAAATGGAAGTATGCTTCATGTTCTTTACAGTGAAACACTTTTTTGTGCAAGATTGATTTTAAGATTCATTTATGTTGATATATACTTCATTTATTTTCACTGTTGTGTCTTTCATCAAACAAATAGTATCGACACTTGGATTGCTTCAGATTTTTGTTAACTGTGAACAATGCTGAAAAATGTCATCAAAATATTCTTATACATGTCATATGTCACAGTTAAAGGAATTTATCTGTGGTCTATACATAGCAGTAGTATTACTGGGATATAGGGAATATGACCCAGTAAGGTAAGATGTCAAACTTTTTGAAAGTAGTTATTTTTCTTTCACCTTCAGTAGAAGGACATTCTCATTTCTCTGCATCTTTACTGACAATTGGTATTACCCAAGGTAAAATTTCTTGCCAGTGTATCAGTGTTAAATGGTATCCTACAGTAATATGAATGTGTAGTTCCTTTTTTACAAATGAGGTTGTTCATTATTTTATGTTAGGAGTTTGTATCTTTTTCTTCTGTAAACTTTTTATACATTTCTGTTTCATGTTTTTCAAGTCTTTTTTTTAGCCATGATAATTTTTTATGTATTTTAGATATTAGTAATTTGTCAAAGGAGATGAGCAAGAAGTAGTATAGAATTACTTGTAGATTTCTGGTTTGGGGAACTGACTGTATGCTAGGACAATTAAACTAAGACTTAGAGTAGGAGAAAGAGAAGGAAATTACTTTTAGATACTTCAAAAATTGAAGTTCTTGTAGAATAGTGGTGGCAAACCTATGGCATGCGTGCTGCAGTGGTCTATTTCTTATCATTGAAAGCTCTAAAAAGTTCATCATTGCTGCAGTAGAATATTCAGGTTGAGATGGATAACAAAAAGCTCAGACCAAGTTCTCTTATGCCATATCAATCACATAGAAATCTTATGTGATAGGCCATTCAGAGGACTAAATTGATCTAGTGTCCACTATTGATACCTATCCCAACTTCTCCAGGCCAAGCTTATATAAAATAGAATCTAAGCTTCTTATAAAATAATGTCAAATGACGCACATAACACTTTGTCTTAGTTATAATTAATTTATTATCTTTTTTGTCTCTCAGTAGTTAATCATTTCTAATATTTCCAGCACAGCACATAATTTTTATTTTGAAAACCATTTAGCACATACAAAACATTTATCTAGATTTAAAAATTTCTCCAATTACTCATTTTTCTTATTTATACAAGTTGGTTCATATACAATGAAAACAGTATAAGAAACACAAAAAATTCTATTTTGTACAGTCTTTCATTAAATAGTATTTACAAATACACTTTCAGACATATTTAGCTTCCTGTAGGTATTTGGAATTGTATGTATATAATTACTGAAGAATATGAGTCCTTGGGAGGATGACAGTAGAAGCTAATAAAGATTGTTCTTAAAGAGAGGATGGCAGTAGACTACAGATTGGTCTTTAAAAAATAGATTATCACTCTGATTGTATACCTTTTAGCTACTTGAGAGTCAAAGAAGTCTGATAAATCAAGAAGTAAAACATTCCTTAAGAACCCTTAGAAAATAGAAAAGGTGAGGAAAGAGTCAATAGCAGTGTTAGGATTTGGCACACTTATTAAGAATGTAGCACCTTGGCATAGCTTATAGTATAGTGCCAGGACAGAGTTAATACTGGTTATTAGAACTTTTAGTAATACAACTAGTAACACTATTACTAGAGATATTATCAGCTCAGGATCATGACACACACATTCTCACAGGAGTGCTAGCAGCTAATTTGGTGACTGGTTGGTCACCTTTCAGAAAAACTACAAATCAGAGACAATAAGAAGTTGACATAGACTCTGTAGGGAAGTACAGAAGCAGCATCTCTGGGATCCATCTTTATCAGCACTGCAGTGATTTTGCTTCTGTCTGGTTTTAAGATCTTTTAGACCTGTAAGAAGAGAAAAGATACATAGAAGCTTGAAACTCAGACTCCAGCTTCTGTTTGGGTTCTACTTGACATACTGAGTTCAAAGCCCAAAGAGCCTCCGATAGAGGGTTTGATGAACTTCCTGCTGCTACAAAGTCATTGTAGATTATAAGGGCTTTTGGACAGAAAGAGCTTGGGGGAAACTTTGATAGTTATAGCTTGCCGTAAGTTTGAAGAGACATAACAAAATGAGTATATGATCATAATATGATCATATGGTTAACTTTTAGACAGGTAATCAGAGTGATTTAGACACCACACAAAATGACACTTCAGTATGTATGTAAATAGAGGTAAAAAAGGGCACGGTGGTAACTTTTAAGTCAGTGATCTTTCTGCAAACCCCATGCAATATTTCTAACTTCTCCAGATTGCCATTTCTGAAAAGTTCTGAAAACAACACCAAATTTACCTTTCTTTTCTAACTGCTTTCAGTAAATTCTTAATGACCTTAGATTCTGGATCCAGACATCTCTTCTCCCCATTCATTTTCATTGTGGCACTATGGAAATAAATCAAAGTAAAAATATTTAAGACAATATTGTGCCAGCAAAACAGATAGAGTACATAGTTCTAAAGCCAGACATTTAAATTTTACTCTATATTTTCTTTTGCTATACATTAGTTTTATGTCATCATAAACACTTCAACTGAGCTTTTATGATTATTATCACATATTTAATATATTATTATAACCAGGGAAGTGATTATTAAATGAGATTTTACTTACATGATCTCAACTCGTGGGCAAGATTGACTTGCAGGAATAATTTCAAGTTTCTTGAAGGACTTTGGATTAACAGGTTGAGTACTAGTCTCGATGCAGGTGCAGCGTATTGTTCTGGAATGAGGTATTCCTGTAGGAAGAAGAAAACAAGGTAGAACAGGGAAGGTTAAGACAGTGTTCCATTAGATGTGGACTAGGTAATATTTGGTAGGACCAATACTCCCATATTGTCACTATTCAATATGAGGAGAAATATATCTTATTATAACACAGGTCCGTATGTGCAAGAAGGGAACTGCAACTTGTGATCAGTTACTTAGTTATGAAATTATCTGTCTTAGCCTCTTTTATTCCTTCACATTTTTTTTGTTTTTCTCTCTTTTCTCATCTTTCCTCCTTTTATTCTACTTGTTTTTCTGACTTCATTTGTACTAGCAGAAGGAATCTCCAGTCATTTTCTTCTGTTTATAAACACACAATGAAACTTGCAAATATATTACTGGTATTTTTAGAATTTATATACAGTCTTGTTTTCTCATTTTGTAAGCTAAATATCCCTTGATGTTCCTTACCTTGAGTCCCACTCAGAGTCAGAAAGATGAGGCAGAAAATAAGAATAGTGTTGTGGTTCATGATGTGAGACTAGAGGTTCTTCTGTAGTAGATGCAGAATCTGTCTCAGCAGTTGAGGAGTGTCTTAGAAAGCATGGGCTAGTAAACGGCATTTATATGTAAAAGCACTTTCCCTCCCTAGCTCTGATTGGATAATGTGACTGTCAGCTCAGCAAAATCTGCTAGCTGTACTTTGGGGAAGTCCCAAATTGCAAAATCAAATGTATTACTTGTATTTATTATGGCTTTCAAGTTACGGAACTTCCCTCTGTCCTCTTTTAAATGAGAATGAGTTAGGTTTCACTTTCCAAAACATGAACTGTTTCTTGAAAATCAGAACTTTATTGCATGCATGGTAATTTTTAAATGAAACTTTCTTATCTTTCATCTCCTGTAAAATGCCAAGTTAATCTTTGTCAGAGTGCTAGTTTTTTAAAATTTTATTTTAAAGAGAAAATATAAAAATTTCAAAACACAAGAATTAGGGGGTAACAATGGCTAATCCATTGCATAGTGTTATCTTTACTCAGAGTATATAACTGCATTTAATTGCCCAAATAATATTAGCACAAACCTTTCTTTTCAATGAACTAAGAGAAATTAATAGTATAACTACTTTAACTATCTTTTATATATACATATAATACACATATAACATGTATAATTTCTTTCCTATTTTTAAATAGTGCACCCTAATGTTGTGCTTTGCATCCATTTTACTTGCAGCATTAAGGCATGAGTAGAAATAATTTACATAGCTTGGTATATATTACAGATATGTTATGCCTCATCATTTTCCCCCTATAATCACCCTGTGAAGAAGGTAGTAGATATTTTCATTTCATAGATCTATGAGGTTTAATGATTGTATTAGGTTGCACAAATGTTGCCATCCATTTATTATAGTTACAAAGCATTTTCTCGATATTTTTAAGCTTTCATAGTTGCTTTTGGAGGTTTTTTAAAATATATTTTTTGAGGCTGCCCTTAAGCTCACTGTGTAGTTGGGGCTGGCCTCAAACTTGTGGCAGTCTTCCTGCCTCAGCCTCAAGAGTGCTGGGATTACAGGTGTGTTCTACCACACCTGGCTTTAAAAATATTTTTAATATTAGGGCAATGTTTCATCTTTTATAGGTAAGTCTAACTTTTGGTAACAGCAAATTATATCTGATTGTTAGCTGTTTTTGCTGGGCAGTGCCCCTTGATCAATTCTATAAAGTAATATAATTGGTCTTCATAGGTGGTGCCAAATAATATGGAACTGAAAGATTTCAAAGAATTGTACTTTGACAATTCATAACATGTATAAAATAAGTGAATAACCTCTATATAACTCTTTTGAGAGAGATCATTACTTATTTGGATATCTAATTCCTGTTGCACTTCTGATTCATGTTTTACAGTGAATCCCTAAATGACAATGACATAAGATGACACCTACAGTGACTTGAGAAAAGGAGTCATAGCTATAAGAGGATTATTGTGGAAAGTGAAGTGTATTTTTAAGGAAATAAATTTAAAAGGAATTATATAATTGGAGTAGAAACCGACTTTGGTAGAACAACTTGAGCAGGAGGAAAACAGGTTGATTTAATATGGAATTCAGTTCCAGAAGATAGTCTAATGTAAAACAAAGAAGAAATTTATCAGTGGTTGAGATAGCGATGTAACTGAAATCATCACAGTTAAAACTGGGTGATAAATTGAGACAAAACTTAGTTTTTTAGCACTCAGTAGTACTTGACTGATTACCATAGTAGGTGGAAACAGTAGAAAGCATGTGATATCCTTTGTAGTGGAACAAGTATTGGATTTGACAGTTTAAATTTAATAGTATCCAAGGAATGTTGTACTGTATAATCATTGGTCATGTTCTTTATAAGTGAAGTGACATCAAGGGATTTAAAATGAGATACTGTAACAAATGCAGGCATAACTCTGTAGTAGAATAGTGAGGATGTTGATATTTCAAGCTTAGAAAATTTTAAAATAATAAAAATCTGTCATTTGCAGCAACACGAATGGAACTGATGATTATCATATTAAGTGAACCAAGCAAGACACAGACAATATCACATATTCTCACTCATTTGTGGAAAATGATAAGCCAGCCTTGAAGAAGAATGGAATGGAATGTTGGTCAGTAGTTACTGGGAAGGATGAGATGGTAGCAGAAAGATTTCAGTAATAGTACCAGACACACAGAATAAAGGAGTTATTCCTGGTTCTTCTTTAGCAGTAGAGTAACTACTGGGTAAAACAATACATTTTATATTTCTAAATGACTTCAAAAAAGTGCAAAATCCCTAATACATAAAAGTGATTAATGATTGAAGAGAGGGAAATGCTTGTTACCTTGATTTGCTGATTAATAAATATTATATAAACATTGAATTGCCATTTGCCCCATAAAGATGTATAACTTTTTTAAAAAAGGAATTAAATATCTAGAAAAAGTTTAAAATGGAATTGTCATATGCTGAATTTTATACCAAAATGAAAAGTGTAATTTCAGAACTCTGGGAGATTGCAAGCTTAAGCTCAGTTTGAGCAATTTAGTGACCTAGAAAAACCCTTATCTCGAAATTTAAAAAAAAATATTTTTTTGCTTTTTTGAGACAGGATCTCACTATGCAGTTCAAGCTGGCCTTGAGCTCACTTTGCAGCCCAGGCTGGTCTCAAACTTGCAACAATCCTCCTGCTTCAGCCTCCTTAGTGCTGGAATTGCAGGCATGCACACTACGCCCAGCTAAAAGTAAAACTTTTTAGAAAGGGGTGGGGATATAGTTCATCACAAAAGACTCTTAGTTCAATCTGCAGTATCACAACCAAAAAAGAAAAGGAAAGGCTATATATATGTGTATAATATATATATATATATATATATATATATATATATATATATATATACACACACACACACACACACAAATATGTTACTTAGTAAACAATTACACAGAGGTAGTTATTCACATATAGTATTTTTAAGAAGTAATGTTTCTCAAGGAAATAGGATGGGTGAAAAAGGGCAGAAGAGAAAAGGGAAAGAAATGCAAGTCAAGTTTACTGAGTTGACCTGGTTCATTAAAAGGAAAGTTTGTACTAATACCAATTGGAGAAATTTTTATGCCCGTATCCTGTATTATGAGCAACTACTTTAAAGGTAATAACATGAAATGTATTAACTATTGTTATTCTCCTATTATTTTGTTATGAAATTTTGTTTTACTTTTCTCCATTAAAAAAATGGTTTTCTCCCCTAAAACAGATCATATTGAGTTGGATTCTGTATTACATTATATTAAGCATTATATGCATACCCTGGAGTTTTTGTGACTAAGGAAAAAGACATTTGTTTCTTACTATAGTCTGAAATTTATATTCTAATCTTGTTAAATACATTAATTTGTACTGAAGAAGTGAATTTTTTTTTTGTCTTTTTTCTTTTTACTGGTACCAGAGATCGAACTCACAACTGCCTGCTTGCAAGGCAGGTGCTTATGCCGCTGAGCTAAATCCCCAGCCCCTGAAGAAGTGAATTTTATTGCAAATTAAAAATCACCTCAAGTTTTAGATATGCAACATTTTGTTATTTCTGTTGCTAGACAACTCCCAAGTCTTATCACCATCCTGAATGTTTTTCTTTTAGTACAAATATAAATATCTTCCCCATTTTTGATATTTTTAATTGTTTTTCCTTTTGGATTCATTATAACGTCTTTGTCTCTAAAAATTTTAGTCTTAAAATCTATTTTGTTAGTGTAGCTGGTTGGCTTTCTTTTTTTCATCATTAGCATGACATATCTTTCTCAGTTCTTTCACTTTCAATCGCTTTGAGTCTACAAACTATACCTCATATATGTATATAGTTGAATGATACAGAAATCCATTCTGCCCATCTATCTTTTATTTGCAGTGTTCAGTGTATTTACACTTCATATAATTAATGATACAGTAGGTCTTAACATCTACCATTTTACTATTTGTTTTCTATGTCTTGTTTCTTTTCTTTATTCCATTGCTATCTTCTTTTGTATAAAATGCATATTATCTAGTACATTATTTTAACTTCCTTGTTTCTTTTTAAAATTAACACATTAACATGTAAAATTAAGTGATATTTAATAGTTTCAAAGCTTTGTATAATCATTACGAAATCAATTTTAGAACATTTTCATTACCACAGAAAGAAACTCCATATTCCTTAGTTGTTACTTGACAGTGTCGCACTCTTCTCAACCTTTCTACTCTTCACAGCCCTGCAACAATGAATCCACTCTCTCTATAAATTTGCCTGTTAGGGAGATTTCACGTGAATTTAATCCTTTCACCTCATTTTACCTCTGACGTAGCCACTCATCCAATTTTTTTCACCTTAGATGGGTTTTGACTGTTTTAGAACTTCATATAAATGGAATAATTTCATTAGTGTATGCTTTTATGCAAGACATCTCTTTGTGTTTTACAGATTCATCTATGTATAGTAGTTGCATGAACCCTTTGTTCCTCTCTAAGCTACATTGGTTTGTTTCTTGTTGATGGACACTTTGACTGTTTTCAGGTTTCAGTTATATATAAGGCTGAAGATTGAAGATTTTTTTTGTATAAATATTTGATGGGGGGGGAGCCAGGGCTATTGCTCAGTTGGCACAGTGCCTACCTGGCAAGCATGAAGTCATGAATTCAATTCCTAGTACCAAAAAAAAAAAAATCAAATGATTCTGATCAAATAATTTGCTGAAGATTTAGCTCAGTGGCTCAAGCACTTGCCTAGTAAATGCAAGGTCATAAGTTTGATCCCTGATACCAAAAAAAAAATTTTTTTTTGATGGGGAGGCATAGGCCTTAATTTTGGGTCCATATTTAGCAGTAGAACAGAGTCGTATTCTAAATACATAAATTATAGTGTTAATACTCTGCTTAACATTTTCCAGAAACTTTTATTTATATTTAGAATAAAATCCAAAATTTTAATTAACCTATTTTACTACCTTCGCTGTGATTAGGCTGCTTCCTGTATGTCTAGCTTCATCTCACATTAAACTATTCATTACACGTCAGTCACAGTGACCATTACATTGGTACTTTTCTTATTTAGAATCCTTT